CCACACATTCATCAAATAAAAATAACATTACACACAAATCTAAAACTTTTCAACCACACATTCCTCCATCAATCACTATTTTAAAAATTTTCAACCCCTAAAAATGGGGGCCAAACAGGGGCTAAATGTAGTCGTAGTTTCACAATCTGTTTTAAGTGAATTTAATAAGTAACATCATGATACTTGAGAAGTTACTAAATGATTAAAAAACACGCTTCAACAATTTTCTTCTGTTTTCTTGGAAAACTTATAGAGGCCACAAGCATAAAAGACTAATGGTTCGAAACAATTATCATTTTCATCAATTTCTTAAAATTCTCAAGTTGTGTAAGAATTTTTTTTCGACTTTCTGGAAGTTCTAAATTCTGGTTTTTAAACAGTTTTCATGTTAACTTATTCTTATAATCAGAGACTTAAGGAAATATAATGTGCATTTAAGATTACTGTATAGATGATTTTAAGAATTGTAATTTGGTTGGCTGTTAGAACGAATGGCGTGCAATTGGAGTTCAGCAGAGCCGAGGGTGGGTTCATTATGCAATTCACCGCCCAGAGCCTCACATCATGCTCTTCAGGAGGCCACTGAACTATCAGCAGCAGCAGGAAAACCAGGCTGGGCAAAACATGGTTGCCAAGGGATGATTCCTTGCTCAGGTTTTCCACCTTTCTGACGTCTGATTGTATTGTTGCTCTCATTTCTGCTAGAAATGAACCCACTATGTGATTAATACTCTATGAAGAAATTTGTGTTCTGGGTGAATATCAGGAGTGTTATAGTGCTGTGATGTGGCAAATTTCAATGTCAAAACTTCTGTTTCAAAGACTTCGATGTCAAACTGGTTGTAATATTTCAGATTCACTATTGAAGTCTTGATCTGTTCTCTGTTGTTGGTGGATTCTCATTTATCTTGTTGCTTTATCTTGTTCTTGTGTCTTCTTGTCCTCAGCTATCGGTTAATAAATTGTTTTGGGGCCAGCATTTTGCATTTGTATCTCATTCTCTCTTAAAGATTTCCATAATCTGAAGTTGTGTCGAGAAAGATACTGAAATAACTAGTAAAATCTTCTGGTGAAGCCAGTCATTTATCGTCGTTTGAAATGTGGCTTTTAGATGACAAAAAATGTGCGCGAAGCTTGTGCAATTCTTGTGATCAGGTTAATGGTGGGTGTAAGTTTTCTTCTTAGGTTTCTGATTTTTGAGGATATTAAGAGTGTGTTTGGTAGGGATTTTTGGGGAAGAATTGATTTTTGAATAGTGATATGATGGGAAATGTGTGGTTGAAAAAAAAGAAAAAAATATTGATTTGATGGAAAATATTATTTTATTGAAAAATGTGTGGTTGAAAATTAGAATTGATTTAGTGTAGAAAATGAGAATCTGTATCAAACAGGCTCTAAGATTGCATCAATAACAAATATTGTGTTTACAATTTGTTTTTTCCAATTAGTTAAATTGTTGGCATGAGTTTGTTTTCGAACTTTTTTTCAGAAGACCTGTTATTAAGATTTATGTTTTCTTAAGTTCAATTTCGGCTTAGTTTCCGGGATTGTTGTATATTGCATTGTGGATTTGAATGTAGGAAGATAATTTAACTATAAAAGGTTTGCCAAATGCGATTGATTCACCTATTATGCCTCACTTTTTTACTAGCTTTTGAGATGTTCTTGAATGTGCATTGATTAACCATTTTTATTTTAATTGCTTTCATCTTATCATGTGTAAATTGTACTTGTGATAAAGGGTACATCCATATCCATAATAGAAATGAAAAGTAGTCGTCTTTAACATGGATTATATAGAGATGTTAATTGGTAATGGGGGGCATATTCTTGTTTTGGTGTTCTTTTGTAAACTTAAACTTGCAACATTAATTCTCGATTACTCGAATTGGTGTCAAAGGAGAAAGAAATATCAGTATCAAATGATACAAGGATAAGGGTGATGTAGGAATGAAATTCTCTCAAAAAATGATAAAAATTATCAAAATTGAAAGTCTAAAACCAAGTAGAAAAACTTCCAAGTTTTGTAGATTATTCGTTCATGTTATTGTTATTCTTTTCATTGTATTATGTTCTTTTTCAACATATTTCGATTCTTGTGTCATGAATCCTAATACAAATGGTTCATGTGATCGACCTCAAATTTATTCAAAATAGTTTATTTTTCTAACTAAATATTGACATGGTGGACGCGACGTGGTGTCAATGGGAAGTTTTCCACGTCATACATTTTAGTGAAAATTTAAGAGAGCGAAGCTTTATCAGGCTCGTGTCGAGCCTCTTTTGGAAGAGGGTGAAATCCCTTATCCTTGAAAAAAAAACGAGCAACTAAACTAAAATAAACGGGAAACTATCACTTTGAAACATAAGATGTAACATTCATTTTAATTACACGTTCAAGAAATAATTCAACTAAACTGTATGTGATTGCAAAGTCAAAATACAAAGGCATCATAAGTCACTGTTATAGTAGCATGCACAACATTATATGAACTAAGGCATTATACTAAGGTGACTCTTCCAGTAATTTACCTGTCATCTAATTCCATTTATGCTGCAGTTTGAGCTCCATTCTTGGGGGTGTAAATTTGGTTGAGCTCACGACACGGTCATTTTTAGCCCAGGACCGCTTTACACCTTCAGTCATTCCCTGTCGTTTTCGAATTTATTACGGGAGAGTGCCCAACAAACAAGGAAACATGGCCCATCAGCTTATCTTTCCTAGAAAATGTTGTACCACATGAGCATTGCCATTTAAGGTCACCACAATGTTTCTCATGTGTGCGCAGATCAGATAGAATCGAAAACTGTTTCGTGTTGCAGCGTTTGCACACATACATTTTAGGACAATGACTCCTCTTGTAGTGATTCTTCACACAAATCATGGATTTCAATGGTTGAAACTTCTCATGGTTCTTGTTCCATCTGCAACCTTCTTGAGGACACGAATATTTTCTCGGCAAAAAATTGTCAACTCGACTCGAATTCCCATTATTTTTTATGGGATTGCACAAAGCATCCTTCGACTTGTATGCGTCCCCATGAGCCCTCATGTGCATCCTCAAATTTGCATCCCTTTTAAACCCTTTGCCACAAACTTGACAATAATGTGTATATTTTGCTAATAAATCTGCAGCATCCAATTCCACGATATCATAATCCTCCTTCGTCGAAAGCAATTCCTCTTTACAAACTTTATTCTTAGCAGATGTAATAGGATTCTCATAGTTTGCACAATACCAATCAAATGTCTCATTGGAATAGAAATCCTGCCCTTTTAGGTCCGATTGAGTCAACGCACCATCGGTTGACTTAGGTTGTTCCGGTCGCAATTCCTCGCTATTGACGTTACCGAGGGGTGTTCCGATGGCCATTTGCTGGCATGTGAACATCATAGATGATGCAGCGACTACAATTTCTTGAATGAGGGTAACCATGGTTGGGATCCCGACTGGGGTCGACTCCGTTGGCTGGCCGTGATGTGGGGATAACAAGAAGATGCTAGTCAATGACTGTACTTGATGAACCTTTTCCTTGAGGATGGTCAGGTTGTTGAGGAAAGAGTGTGTGTGTGTGTCTGAATTTGTTTCAACCATGTTGTCTTGATCTTGAGAATCACCATATATTGGCAAGATTTGTGGCTCAATAGGGTTATATGAAATGGCTTCTGTAATCATCTTGAAAGAACCAACCAAGTTCTACAATTCGCGCAGTTTTACAAGTACGAGTATGATTCATGAGGTAAGTTTTCAAGGAATATGCTGAAACATGCCATCTTTTAGCTTTTCATATATGCAAGTTGTAAAAAGTTTAGAAACACGAGTTAATTTTCATCACATTTTATAGGACGTGCAACTTTTCAAGTATACATTTCATTTTAACTTTTATAAAAGTTCCTTAAAAATTTAATTTTACTCCCCACCAAACATGACTACAGACAACTTTAAAATACATTTCGTTAGATAGATTTTATCTCGATTATATGACGTTGTTCTTAAGATATAATTCCTCGATTCTCAATTTTTTAGTCATATTATAGTTGATCAGGTCTAGTTTTCAAAATATATATACACACGTCGATTAGTGAGTATTTCAACATTAGAATAAGATTAAAAAAATCATATTTATAAAATAATGATTTGTTAGTTGTCGAATATGTACAAGGTTAAGTCAACTTTGAACTTGAAATCATCACCACAAAACACCTCCCTCAAATGCATTAATCTCACATTTAAATAAACCCTTAAATATAAAAGTACACCTATTTACTTATCTCTTTAATTTTCTATATCATGTTTGGTGGATATTTTTTAAAGTACATTAAAAAAAAAAAAAAAAATTCGATCGACATTGGTTTAATAAAATGATTTTGTATGTAGATTCATAGCTTTTTATTACTTTTAATCATATATTCCGTAAAAAAAATCACTTTTTATAAAATATATTCTCAAAAAATCAACATCAAACGGATATTTTTTTTTTTCAAGATGGAAATCAATGATGTAATATTGAATATTTTATTTTCTCCATTGTGACGTCTACGATCACGCACAATTAGGGGTGAATTTTTCAAAATTCAAACGTCCCATCTCAACACAAAAATTAGAAGTCCACACAACTCGAAATCTTTAATCAAAATTAGGGTATTTGGCGCAAAACTACACTAATCTTTATACGTTTTGTAAAAAATAATAATATTTTTTTCATTTTGGCGCAATATCCCCTAGATCATACAAACATTTTGGAATACAACCTCGTTGTCCAATTTTGTTATGTTTCAATTCCTTAAATGCCCAAGGCTTCGTCCGAACAATCAACAACTCCTACTTTTCTTTTTTTTGCATTCGGCCGTAATTGTTTACAAAAGACGTGGGATAGAAACGAACACTAACAGAAAAGCCCCAAGCATCCATCAAGAAATCCAAAATTTTGCTTCAATTTTCACTTAGAATACTGTTTTGACACGTAATTTGTTATTTTGCCATGTAATTTCTAGTATGGAGTTTGTGGTTGTTGCTGGTAACTGGTTTTTGGCTTGTAATTCTAGTTCAGTTGTTGACATCTTGGTTGTTGTTGTAATTTCCACTTTAATTGGTAGTTGAATTCACAAGTTGATTTCTAGTTTCCAACTTCTTCTTGTTGATTACAAGTTTTATGGATGTTGTCGACTAATGTTGTGTCGCTGTAAATTGCTGGTTTTGGTCGTTTGTTGATTTTTGGTTTGTTCGCAGCTGTGCGAATCGCTAGTTGATTGTTGGTATTGCTAAGGACGTTTTTCGTAATATTCTATAGGTTAGAGTTGATTTACGCAATTAAAAATGATGCGGTTGATTGTGCAAAAGGTTTTAAAGCCAGAAATAAGATTGATTTGCGCACAAAAGTTTGGACAAAGGAACGGGTCTTCTTGCACAAACATTTTGTCCCAATTTCGATTCAACTCGACAAAAAACAAAGAACTTCAACTTATATTACGTGAGAACAATTCATGATACAATAAATAGAAAATCGAGTGTATTAAAATACAATCATTTAGACAATTAACATCGAAGCCACCAAAACACACAAGTAAAAGCTATATTTACTTGTTTTCTATCCTCTAGTTTTTTTTAAGATTTTCTGGTACATTAATTTTTTATCTTGAAGGATGGTAGAAAATTTTAAAATTAACTTACCGAAGATCATTCGTTTGGCTTTATTTTTCATGAAAATTGTCCATTAAAGGGATATAATTTGTTACAATTGGGGATATAATTTGTTTACATTGCAAAAATAAAAAAGCTACTTAGAAAACCAATTCTCACCAAAG